AATACTTTTATAATGCGATTCAAATAAGAATAGGAAAGCCAATGACCTCCATCTGTCAAATGTCGCTTGAAAAGTACAGTTTGCAAAAAAAACTCGGAATACTTTTTTAGCACTCAGCTAATTCTAGAATAAAAATCAAACATTTTTAAACAAACAATAACAAATATTGATAGTTAATATTGGTTGATATTTTTTTTTCATATTGAGCTTTGGCTATGAATGGTTGATAACCTAAATCGTCAACTAAATGTCACTTTATGTTCCGTTCAGAAACTCGATTTAATACTTTCGTTTACATATAGGATGCATGTTCGTATGTGACCTGCATGATTATTCATAACTACTCCGGTGGTAATGCAGAGATGAGCGGAATTGAAGAGCTAGATTCTAATTTATGTTTTTTCTCACACAGTCTTAATAAAGTATTATTAAAAATCGATTGTGTTTTCTCTCAATCTTAGTAAATTAATTTTATTAAAAAAATCTGATGTTTTCACTTAATCTAAGTTAATAAGTTTGATTAAATAGAAACTTTTTTTTGCTCACTCTACCTATTTGGCTTGAATTGACAGCTATGACGTCAAAATATGGCGCCCAGTCCTATTCTTAGTTGAATCGCATTATAAAGTTATGAGACGTTAACGTAGCAATAACGCAGTATATCAGAGTTTTCTATACGTGCAATTGATTCTCATCATTAATATTATTTACATTATTTATGTTTTTTTTTCACATTTATTTTTATTACATTTTTTTACAATTAATTGATAACAATCCAACACAAATCATCATCAGCTTCATTTTGTATGAAAGTAAGTGAATTTTTCGGATACTTCTGTAATTTCATTTCAATGCCCGTTTTTGCGCACATTAACGACTATTAACTTCAAAAGTATTTATTTAATAAAAAAAATATACAAAACTTGTAGGGAATTCAATCACGAATAACTTGTATACGACGTTTTTTATCAATTAATGACATTTTTAAGGTTTTATAAAGGAAAAACTACAAACATGTTCAAATAAACAACAACAATTAAAAAACGGTAAGAGTTACAGTAAAAAGTTTGAGAGAAAGAAAGAAGTTAGAAAATTTAGTAATAAACAAAAAAACACTACATTTTTTCCGTACAGTCAATAATTTAGGAGATATAGCTATAAACGCGTTTTCCAATAAAGCGGCCAGTTGTGACCACCCTACATTCCCCGATTTAAACTTAAGCTTCTTACAATCTACCCTTATGTCTGTAAAAAAAAGCTAGAGTACGGTAAAATGTTGCATTTCGATCAAGTATAACAAGTATAAGCTCGTGGGCGGCCAAAGTACATATTGGCCCAACATAATAATATATTTAGAATAGAAATTCACAGATCTATTTATTTTAAATGGAAACAAAATTTTAATGGTAACCCCGAAAATACTGAAACTATACCGACCATAAGTTGAATGAATTCGATTGCAACGGAAACTGTAAGTTTTTCATATTGTTATTGGAAGTAGACAATGAAAAAAGAAATTAAATTTATAACAATAAATTTATTATTATTTAAATTTATAATGATAAATTAATTTATTTGGCAAAAAATGCTGTTGGATTGGAAATCGAAGCCGAGGAACAAAGGGAAGCGTCAAACTGAAATGTAAATATTTTATCTGTTTTATTTATTTATTTATTTATAATGGCACAATAACAGGCATAAGACAAAAAAAAACAATACAGTACAAAAAGATATGAAAACTATGGGCATGCCTGTGCCCAATTACAATTGTGCACAACATTTACATACATAAAAAAAAAACATCGCCATTTTATACTGACTTACTGGGTATTTCACTACTACACTAGGTACATAGTTTACAATGTTAGCAGTTTGGTTTTTTGTCTTAAACTCAAACTAATGGGATGCAGTTCTAGAGCAAAAAAGTTTATTTTTAATATTTTATATTAGACTTCTTTGCTTCATAAGTTCAATTGACAGTAACTTGCTGATTTACGTACCATATCTGTGTCTGGATTGGAAATGTATTTCCAGTATTGCCTATATCTGTTTATTAAATGAACTATGAAGGCAAAGACAAAACTACACTTAGTACAGTTTTATTGAGATATTTGATTATTACCAAACATCAATCATCATTATAAAAGTCAATACTAAAAAACACAAGTAAATAAAATATTATTTCTCATTGCCACTCGACAAAAGGGATTTCATTCAGCGATAACAGTGAACAAACTTTTCATTTGATTACTGAGTGAATAAAAAAAATTTGAACAAACAGAAGTTATGCAAAGCATACATATAAAGTTACAATAATTAGTAATAATCATAATTAATCTTTATTCTCATTTCCAAAACACAACCAATGGGTACTATAAATTATTCATTTTCTCACAATAGTAAAAAAACTTAATCCTTGTAACCTTTGCTCCACTCAGGATTCCTATCTAGAATCGTTCGTTGCTACAGTAGGGATCCATCTTAGCACTTCAAATTAACTTTATTTTATAACGGCATTTATTGTATAATCAATAATTGCATATTAAAGTATCAATTTGGTAAGCGCGCTACACTGAACATCGCCGCGTCGATGTCTCGCTCGTGCGACTCGGACACGCTCGCGGTCGTATTTACCTAAACAAGAGAGGCGCAATTTTGTAAAAGGGCTCTTAATTTCTTGCACTTCAGCCACTCTGACCGAGCTTCTTTCGTTCGCAGTGAGACAATAATAGGCCGTGGTCTTTTATTATTAATATTTTCCCCTGGCATTCTCCAGACTTTTTCAATGTCCTCAGTCTTCAATTTTAGTTCTTGGGCTATTTTACTCACCGTTGCTTGCAAGTTTTCACCTTCCAGCTTTTGTACATTAATAAGCTCTATCTGCATTTGGAGTTCCTTCTGCTCCAGTATCATTATGCGTTCTTCCAGAGCCCTATTACATTTTTCGATGTATATATTTGTCTGTTGCAAATCTTTTATTTTGTTATCTTGTTCCTTAGATTCTTGCTTTATTTTTTTTTCAGATTTCTCCAGTTCTGTATACTTTTCTCCTAAGTAATCGACAGCTTTTTCAATCTCGTTATTAGTTCTTTTTATATCTATTATTTGATTTTTTATTTCAGTCATATCTTCAGAATGTTCGTTTTACGAAGATCCACACCTTCGTAAAACGAACATTCTGTTCCTCTTTCATTGAGTTTAGGAGCAAGTTCATCACCTTCATTTGCTCACTCAAGTCAACCAAAGCTTTGTTCATAAGATCTGAGTTACAGCACGATGTTTTTTGTCGTCTGATTTCACGACTTATGTATGAATCGCTATCAGAATCGACATTTAATCGCTTTTTCTTTTGACGAGTTTTACTCCAGTAATGCGCGTGGCATTATCCGCCAAGGCAGCAACATTCGGCTCTGATCCATAATAAACCTTATCTGTCTCCGGTGTACGGAGCATCTTGTAGGCCTATATTTATTAGCCGGCGGCAGAGTAAGCTAATAACTTACAGGTAGTGGGAGCCACTGACTGTCCACGGGAGGGGACAAGTGGGCGGAGCAACCTGCGCACGCGCTTGAAGCATAAACAATGTGCACTATATTTATTTTCTTTTTACTTATAACTTTGTCCTTTTCACTGATTTAATATTTAGACGTAGGTTAAGGATAAGGACATCCACGGGAACTGAAAGAGTTTTATAATAGTATAAACATATTACGATAGTTATATATTTTATAAGCCCACATGTGTAACTGGAATAAATAAATAAATATCCGTTCTAAAGTTGATTCATAACCGTACAACTTCTAGCTTACTTTTTTGATGAGCATATTTATTTTAAAGTGATGACTGCCAATTAAACTATTACTTGAATATTTGTTATTAAATGGAACAACTTTGCCACCGTCGCTGAAGGTTCACATTCTTTGGGAAACTGCAAAAATAATAAAATAGATTACCTACTATTAGTTATAGGTCTAAGGTTAATACATGATTATTTAATCTTCTCAGATGCACACCTGGTTTTCGGGATTTCTACGATCTTTTGATACATGCACGTCGGTTGGGAGTAGTTCTGATCCTGGCCTTTCTTTAACTTCTTATACAACTAAATCTCAGGTTGTAGGTACTTCGTTGATAGTAATGAGTGACCGTACGTTTTCTTTTACAGTTAGAAGGTAGTACATATACTTAGATTAAAACAAAAAGGGAAGATATGGTACTCTTAATCCAGAAACATATAACCGTGTTGTGGCGTGTCTTGACACTTCGTTTCATAAATTTATTAAGGTTAGAGAGAGAGAGGTTAGAGCGTCGACAAGACACGACACGTAAATATATTTCTAACCATAGTAGATGTATGAAACCGATGTGCTTCTGGCGCGCCACGACATGACACGACACGTTAATATTTGCCTGACTTTATACTAGAATCAACTAAAATATGTTCTGACTCAACTACTTAAGCAACTCTAAAATTCTTATTGCGGCTGTACCGTATGATCTTAACATCCTTTATCTATGGTACCTTAAATATGTTTTTTGTAGCAGTGCGCGCAGGACCTAATAATAGACAAGATACCACAGAGTAATTTTGCACATACACTAGGAAGTTTTTTTTTATGGCAATACTTGAGATTCCTCGTCAAAAGAAAAATGCCGCTGCCAAGAAGAAACGTAATGATAAAGGTATTTTCATAATAATTAAAGTTTTGCAAGAGTCGTTACATCCTCTCATTTACCATAATATATTAAAAATATTCAGATATTTTTGTACCTGTATCAGCGTATAAAATTTGTTAATAATCTCATTCAATTTCATTTTAGGTTGGTTTTCTGCGTTGACAGTGAAGATCGCGTATTTTCTTTTTTATATCAAATATATAGGATAAAATGTTCGAAATGGTAAATATTCCGCTATTACGGTAATGTAATAATTCAATCTTATATGCAGTGGACATGATTGGGTTACAGAAAAGTATTACAAACTAATGTCATTGTTTTCAGAATACGGCCGAGCCTATGCAGGTTGATGTTCCAATGGAAGATAATGAAAACAATGAAACTGAGTGCTATGTTGTCGAAAACTCAACACTGGATTTGGAAACATATGCTGCATCCTACACAGGCTTTGCCAAATTGTACAGACTAATGTTTGTAGCAGATCATTGCCCTTCTCTCAGGCTGGAAGCCTTAAAAATGGCCATATCGTATGTCATGACCACGTATAACGTAAGTCTTTATCAAACTCTCCACAAAAAGTTAGCTGAAGCAGTAGCATCTGCAGGACTGCCTGATGTAGCCGTTCAAATGGGATCACAAGATATACCTGTACTTGATGCTATGTGGGTAGAGTCCAGAACGAAAAAAGCTGCCATCAAACTGGAAAAGTTAGACACAGACTTAAAAAACTATAAAACAAATTCTATAAAAGAGAGCATTCGAAGAGGACATGATGACTTGGGTGATCATTACCTAGACTGTGGAGATCTGACTGGGGCCCTTAAATGCTATTCCAGAGCAAGAGATTACTGCACAAGTGGAAAACACATAATAATGATGTGCCTAAATGTAGTGAAAGTGTCAGTCTATTTGCAAAATTGGGCACATGTTCTTAACTACGTTTCAAAAGCAGAAGGTACACCTGACTTTAATGAGGTTCCAGCAAAGGACTCTAATCAGTCTATACTTACTCGTTTAAAATGTGCAGCAGGCTTGGCAGAACTAGCAACAAAAAAATATAAATCAGCAGCAAAGCACTTTTTAGCGGCTAGCATTGATCACTGTGATTACTCTGAGCTGCTTAGCAGCAATAATGTGGCAGTGTATGGAGGATTGTGTGCCCTTGCTACTTTCGACCGGTCTGAATTACAAAAGCAAGTCATAGTTAGCAGTTCTTTTAAATTATTTTTAGAACTAGAACCACAATTACGTGACATCATTTTTAAATTCTATGAATCTAAGTATGCATCATGCTTAAGGTTACTGGATGAAATAAAGGACAATCTCCTCCTAGATATGTATTTAGCGCCACACTTAAATTCTTTATACATGCAGATTCGTAACAGAGCACTGATTCAGTACTTTAGTCCATATTTGTCAGCTGATATGAGACTAATGGCAGCAGCTTTTAATCGCACAGTAACTGCACTTGAAGATGAGCTAATGCAACTAATACTAGATGGGCAGATTCAAGCTCGTATAGACTCTCACAATAAAATATTATATGCTAAAGATGTAGATCAAAGAAGCACCACCTTTGAAAAAAGTCTTGCCATGGGTAAAGATTATCAACGGCGGACATCAATGTTGATATTACGTGCTGCAATGCTCAAAAATCAAATCCATGTGAAGGTGAGTTATCCAAAATGTGTTATATGAGGCTGTGTGGCCATTAATTTTATATCTCAGTATCTAACATGACCTTATTCTCAATTTCAGAATATTGGTCGTGACACTGGACCCCAAAGTGGTGAAGCTCCTGGTTCAAGCACTAGTATCCCTACACGCACCTTTGACACAGTGACCTTGTGATGATTCAATTCAAGCACATAGGACATTAATTACTTTTGTATGACAATTTAATTATCAAGCTATTGGTCTCCCTCAAAGATGTCAAGGAAATTTTAAATTTAATCAAGTTATACATTGATGTTGATTCTGGCATGATTCTCTAAAGCTAAACGTAAATTTGACAACAGTGCATCCTTGTCCTTCTCTATACAGAATGAAAAGGTGAGACTGATGTTAAATTTCGTTTTAAGTTTAGAGAATCACGCCAGAATCGACACCATTGTCAGTTTCTTTGCCATAGCAATAGAATAAGACAACATGTTGCTTGGACTATCATTAAATTTAATTGACCTCTCTGAGTGTGGCTGCTGTCCAGTGCAATGCTAAGTGAAGAACTCTGATTTTGTTTACAAATGCAGTTACCTCAAACTAACAATAATTGTCATACAAAATGTTTTGTGTTATAAGAACTGTTTGTGTAATATTATCTGCTTATTTTTCTTATAAATTTAAGAACAAAAGAGTAGACTGTCATGGTTTTGATAACCTAAACCATAACGAAAATTTAACACGGGAAAATGTTAATCAGCAATCACAACTTGAAAACGCTGGTGTGAACATATTTTCAACATTGTTTATACTGAATTATTCTATGTAACCACAAAATATTATGTCTGCGTAATTTTTAATTAAAAAGTAAAGGCATCAAAAGTTTTGTTATTAAAGTTCAGCCATTATTTTTAAAGCTATACCTTCTGCAATCTATTTATTGTTGTAAATAGAATAAAAAAACGACTTAAATATTGTAAGAAAATGCGGTTTCATATTAACAGCTCCTATAACCTTAAATAGTTTAGGGTTTGTTTGAGTCTTCATCATCGTCATTTCGACTATGATGCCCAGTTCACTGCTGCGCATAGTCCGACGCACGACCGATCGGTCAGCTGTCAGTCTACTAGGTATGTCTCGGTTTAAATTTGAACTTTATTATAAAATTCGGAAATAAAATGAAAATACCCACATACTGCACAAAATTCCAACGAATTAAAAATGAAATAAAAATTACTCTTTAACAAAGGTCTTTATAACGTGATTCCAAACTCGCACAACTAAACTTTAATACTAACGCGATACGCACACTGACCTAATAAAAAAATCTGAATGTAGTACACATTTAGAATAATTAATGGACACAATTGAAGTGAAACATCAGGGGAAGTGAAACAAACATCAAGTGAAGGTTACGCACGACACGTGCGACGGTACGTGCCTGTACGTTTTTCCCCGCCCCCCACGACAACGGCTAACTAGAGCCGAGGTCCGAGTCTCGGAGACGCCCTCTAGATGAGCTGACCCCTCAGGTTCGAGTGCTCTAGAGGCTCCAGACGGAGAAGATTACCCCCGTGGGAAGATGCCATCCGCCTGGAATACCTCTACGTCTAGAGGCACTCGCCAATTCTCAGCTTGAGGTCCCCTAAGATCTCGTCCTCAAACCCGATGACGCTGTTGTAAGCTTAGATTAAAACAAAAAGGGTTGTAAGGTCATCTGCGACCAACAGCATACACACTCAAAAAAAGGACAGTGGAACTGCAGCACTCTCTCACCGGGCGATATATTCGTGACAGCAAATTCTAATACCCCAATTTAAAGAAGTTTTACTTCAAATTACTTTGAAAAATAAAATATCTGCAAATGAATTCGGCAATCTATTCATTATGTAGGATAATGTTAAACGGAAATCCCAACAAATCCCATGATCGGCGTGTTGATTGCAGTTTTTTCGCCCCGCCCACTTAATCGTATTTGCGTGGAACCACTTTTTAACACAGTTCATATTCTTAATTAATTTATCCTCAATATTTCTACATAAATAAAATAATGTCAAAACAGAGAGGTTTTTCTTTGTAGAGAATGCGTAATTGCACTTAGGCACATCTAATAGTCTAAGAGCCAGTGTTCCGCAGACTTACGGTATAGTAGCAAACTTCATATTAATGCTAGTTATACTAATTCATCTGCCGTAGATCAAATGGGGGTTCACTATCCCCATAGAGGGTTCCTTTATGCGTGCCTAGAAGTCGAAAAACATGAAAATCGACTTTCAAAACGTGATCGCAGCATGTATGTCGTTTTGATACATCTTAAAATATATATTTTTTTTATAGAAAAAGTAATGAGGGCTATCGCGTATGAATCCGCCGCTAGAGGCGCTTGTGTAGCGTGAGGTCTCCGAAATGTCAAATGTTATTGGTTGTGGGTTGACTACGCGGGTTTATTTCTAATTAAAATAATGTTGTGAATATTTAGTAATAACTCGGCTTAATTATAGCAAATATGAGTTACGTGGCATTGATGTATACTTTGATTTCACGCGCGTATTAATAAACATTAAAAGTTACAATTCAGGACCTCACTCAACAGTGGCGCCATCTGGTGAGACAAAAAACGGTAGCCCTCATTGGCAGACACTTGTTTAAAATATAGTAGGAACCGGAACCAGTGTCTGCCATTAAGTTTTCTATATATTACCATTTTAAAATAAAACTGCAACAGAAAAACGATTAGGGTTTTTGTCGTAAGCATTTTTCTTGTTGAGCTTCGCATGACATTGAATACTAAAAGCACATTACACGCATCATTAATCTTAGGAATTCTAATAAGAATCTTGTCGTAGTCGCAGGTGGTTAGCGCGTTCGGCCTGCGGTCGTGGTAGTTAAGAAAATTTTGCAATGGTTGGTCATTCAATGGTTGACCAAAAACATATTGTCTTGAGCTCCTTCATGCTTCAGAAGGCATTTTAAGCCCTTGATCCCGGCTACATCTGCACTCGTCAGTCTACAGTATAGATGTAAAACAACCGATTTAAAACGTTTTAAACCAAATGTTGCCGTTTTAAACCCCAAATAAATCGTTTACAACCAAATGTTGCCGTTTTAAACCCCAAATAAATCGTTTTAAACGGTTGAAAACTGGCATACAAAAATACAAGAACTACGTTTTTTACACTTCATTACGGTATTTTTTTTTAAAAGTTTGTATTAGTTCTTTATTTACAGTCATCATAAATAACAAACCCCTATGATAAAGATACAAAAACTACATGCGAACGTACCTACAATCAGGGGGTCACTTTTAAAAGCACATTTTGACATATACAACAAGATACATAGAGATGTTAACTGTTAAAATGGGCTTGTGACCTGACTGTACATGATGTAGTTATTGTCAGCAGACTCCATCCATGCCCCAACCTATCCCCTGTTGTATTCGCGCCTGAGAAGTGTGCGTGCGCGGCGCGGGCGGCCGGCAATTTATGTATGTGCATGTGTGTGTAGGGTAGGCGAGCTGGACACGTTTGCGTCGAGTAACGACGAGTGACGTCAACGAGAGTGCGAGAGTGTGAGTTTGGTTTTAAACCGAATCAAATTGATTGAATTGATTTATATCGTTTGAAAACATTTTTTTTTTTTTATTTACTAACACAGTTTTTAACTTATGATAAGAGTTTTTATAACTTAGGTAGGTAATACTTATGCTTGGTCGCGGATGGACCATCTAGAACTAAACTCGCTAAGTATATCAATATCAGTAAGTATATCACACATTTAAAAAATCTTTATACAGTTTATAGGTACTCCGTTATATTCCTACCTCGGTAAAAGCAAGACAATGGGCCCAATTCTGGCGTGCCAACTTATATCTAAAACTAACTAAAATTAGATATAGAGTTGTCAAATTCAATTTGATATTCTATAATGACACCCTATCTCTAAATTTAAAATTGACGTCGTTAAGTTATTCAACTTAGATTTAGATGATTAAATGGTATTCTGAAACGCGTTGTAAATGTCATATTTTCTCTAAAATTAGAAATGTCACACTAAATTTAAGAAGGACCTACGGAGGTCCTCTCTAAATTTAAATGTGAATAATCGGGCCAAATAGTAGGTAAATTATTGATGTACTTAAATTTTAAACTTGTTGTTAAGGTTGGATATGGGTTTATTTCGTTAAAAAAAGCCATAAATTTTATACAATAATGAACGACGACGGTGCTAATGATATATTAGCTATCTCTTTTATTTTTTTTAAAAGGTAGGTAAGTCTATGTTACGATGCGGATTTATTATGAGCCTATTAATGTGTCATGAGTCACTACGCAGGCCTAATGCAGCTTAGGCTAATGACTGCAGATGCAGCGAGCAGCAACATAGAAACTCGAATTAATACATTTTTGGTTGGTCACCCATCCTAAGATCGGCCATTGTGAAAGTTCTTAACTTCACGATCGCAGAACGAACGCGTTACACTTGCGTTATTGTGGTCCTTCGTAGGTAATGTATACGTATATCTTGTATAAAATACTAAATAATTTAAGGTCAAATCTTTTTTAACATAAATAAAAATCCACTTCATATAAAAAACAAGCTAAAGAGGTAAGATATCTATGTGCTAATTCCTTAAGAGCCCTTTCACATTTTTTGCAATAAATCGCAATTTTTGAGCGCCTCGTTTGCCCCTTTACAAGAGGTTTTGACTACTTCCAATAGAAGTAAACAGTAGATTTATTCTTCCTATTGAAAATTAATGTAGAATATTTTCAAACACTATTTTTATTTTTTTTGTACTGTTCGTTCTACCGCAGCTAGTTTACGGAAAAAACAATAATATGCACAACTTAAAACGCCTAAATCTCACATTAATGTTCAATAAATTAGATCAAATTAATAACAATACATAAAATAACATAATGTATTAAAATCTTGATTTTCCATCACATTAATTATTAAAAAAACATCTAACCTCCGTGAGTTTCCCCAAAAACTAACACAGGTTTACCTCGTATTTTGATATTGAATTAAATAGAATTACTATAAAAAACTTTCATAAAACTAATCTACAATCATTGAACTATTGAAATATGTATATATTTTTATAATAAGTTCATTAATTATTATTTTATAAGCCAGCGCCTTTGGAGATCGGACCTGTGTCGCTTTGTACCGCACGCGTCCCGAGC